GAGGGGGGGGGGGGGGGGGGGGGGGGGGGGGGGGGGGAGTGCTTTTATACCCCAAGGGACAAAGATCGAAAGTTCAGTGAGGAAAGGGTGGTCAAAGTTTGAACCAGGGACAGGGGGACTGCGTCATAGTAACGCAGTTGGTCTTTAATCCATTTTTAACAAAAACCATTAATCACTATTTGATATATTACGCGATAGCTTGAACCTGTGCAAAGGACGCATAATCGCATTATCCTCCGCGAATTTAGTGCAGGCAGGGTAAAATTTTGTGATTATTATTAATCAGCAAATGCATATCAGCCACTGTTGGATGGAATCGCATTAAAATTCGGCGAGCAGCTTGCCAGCTGAACTCTATTTTGATGAAGAACTCACCTTGCGGGCTCACGGTTGTTGCAAGCCTCTCGCTCTTGCTGCGAAGCAAAGACTGTAGCAGCCAACAGCAGCAGTGGGGAAGGGTCCTGTGGTCGGGGGAGCTTTTGGCAACTGACTCAGCACAAGCTTGCTCGCCTCATTTTCGGCTTTTTTGGCCAATTCGGAGCTTTCGCATGGATCTGTTATGCTTTGGCCTCGGTGCTCTGTCTAAGTGCATTGTGTGTTTCAGGCGGGCGCGCGTTCAGGCTGTGTTGCTCGATTACTGATGACGGTGATTTCGCCGGATGAAGATGAGGAACAGGACACGGGAGGTGAATTCTTTGTTTGCTGGAGGGAGGCATAGGTACTGAGAGCCGTAGGGTATGGCCAAATCCGCTTGGATGGCACTGTGCACTGTTTAAAAATGTTTTATACGTACCGCCGAGCAGGGGGTCTGTTTTAGTTAGAGACAAGACATTTTAGTGCTAATCTCAAGTTTACTGAACAGAACGTTTGCAGATGAGACCGATCATACGGAAGCACTGGAAACCTCGACCTCCGAATTTTACAAGGTTTTTGAAGTGAAAGATGTAAGTATTCGCTCAATTTTACAATCGTTCCTCTCTTTGCTAAGCAGCCAGCCAGCCAGCAGAGGTCACTGGATCCTCTTCCCGAGGGAGAGGTGGAAAGGGGACATCGCCAGCAGCAGTTTTCCTGCTGATTCCTCATTTGCGCACCTGCTGACTGCTGCTGGTTTCGTTGTCCGAAGATGATTATCAGCAGTTCTTCTTGCAAGACTTTTGCCGTTCCGAGATATCTTTGCTGAGCATCGCCATCCGTTGCACCCAGCGTCGTCACGTTGTTTCGGTATTTTTCTGTCCCAGTGGAGGGAGGGATGCTGTATGCGAATGTGTTCCAGGTGCTTGGGCGAGGATTGGCCTCAACGGTACGGCTATGCGTTGAGAAGGGAACTGGCTTGGAGTTTGCTGTAAAAATTGTGGATATCAGCACGGAAATGCAAGCTGATGCGGATGCACGTCGACTGTATAACGAGACGATAAGTGAAGTGAATCTACTACGACAGCTTGCTGGACATCCGTCTATCAGTTCGTCCTCTCTGCCATCTTGTTTTCTGGGGCGACTACTCGTTCATGCCCTGATTCGCCAGTTGACAGCCGATTTTTTCCATATTTATGCTAATAAAATTCTTGCCAGTATGGGTTTTTACCCGTGTGTGTGTGTGTATGTGTGTGTATGTATGTGTGTGTATGTGTTCCTGTGTTATTTGGTAGTCAGACAAGCTTTGATGCTGGAATTTCGCCAGAGTGTTCCCTAGCCAAGTGCTACCCCCAGAAATGTGATATCATTTTTCACACAGTTCTGCGTCTTATGTACGGACACATAAAAGTTTTGGCGGGAAACTGCTAACTGTGAGGAGGGCTAGAAAGCTAAAACTTTGGGGGTATGTTCCTTTCTCAAGTGCAGCACCAAAAGTCTCAAATCTCAGTACATCCGCGTTTCACTTACGAAAATCTTGGTGTTAAATTTGCTAACGCGGGAATCACAAGAACGAAAAAGCTGGGATTTTAAGAGGATGTTAGAAGATTTCAACACGTAAAAATTTTAACATAAAATTTGCTAATTCGGAAAAGAAGAAAGTTAGTAGGCTGAAAATTTGAGGCAATGTTCCTTGCCAGTGTATAATCGAAGAAACAAAACCGAATTATTCGACCAAAAAAGTCATCAAAAGAGCATCCGGATTATTTAGTGGACGATTTTCCACCGAGAAAACGACCGGACTTCATGCAAAATTGAGAATCTTCTACGCTCCCATGCTTCTCAACAATGCAACACTAGCATCCTGGCTGACGACAGTCCTTCCCTATTTGCGCAGGAAAGGCGAAAAAGCTGCCAACATGAGTGCAGATGTTAAATCACAGTGCAGTAACCACTTATGCTGTTAGCGGTCTGACTCCTGCAAGTCTAGCGCAAAAACGCATGATCCCACCGGCAAGGCATCACAGCCTGGGTTTTTTGACTAAGTAGCGACGTTTAAGATTTTTGCACGGATTTTAAATATCATTATATTTGAAACAAGTTTTAGTTTTCGTTAACAGGTCAAATTTTTTTTTTATATTTCTCGATAGAAATTTGCTTCATTTGTAACTTTCAGTAAGCATGCATGGTTTTTACGAAACACCGGCATTTCTCTTCGCAGTTTTTGAAATGTAAGTGTTTTTTTTTCTTTCTTTTTAAATAGGTTCGCTTGATTATTCTTAGTTCATACAATGTCATAGGCATGAGTCTGCAGTGTTTTTTGGCGTAGTTTTTACTGGCATCCCTTTTTTCCATTTTTTTTAATGCGTTTTTTGCAGCTCTGCATTGCGGAAAACGCATGCTGACGAGAGGTTTGTCTGTATGTGCGCTGGGCTTCTGTACCGATTTTTGATCTCGAGACCTACAAAAGCTTTGGGGTTGAAATATTGGGAGATTAATCTACATGCGTGTGCGAGGCCCCATTTTCAAAATGGGCGCCCTTACTCGCGTGGTACCCACGTAGGGGCCCGCCAAAATTTTTTGCGAACAAGTTGCTAACTCGAAAACCAGAAAAGCTGGAAAGCTCTAATTTTAAGGGGACTTCCCCCTCCGCGCAAGTATTAATGAGTTCAAACTCAGCCCCCAGGTATGCGTGTTACCCACGTACGGGCCCGTAGGAGTTTTTTTTCGAATAAATATCTAATTCGAGAACCTGAAAAGCCAGAAGACGGTGATTTTGAGGAAATGTGTCCCGTCCACGTAGGTGCTAATGAGCTCAAACCCAGACACCGTATGCGTGGTACCTACGTGCGGGTCGTGGAAGTTTCTTTCTGGTAAGTTGCCAACTGGGGAGCCAGGAAAGCTGGAAAGCTGAAATTTTAAGTGGGTGTTTCTTGACAGTTCTGGAGGCCAGTCTTAATTTGTTTTGCTGGAAGCATTTGTCTGAAAAACCGATACCGATATTGACAAAAACTGCAGGGAACTATGCAAAAAGCGCATCTTTGCACGGGCAGCCGGTGCGTTGGCCAATTATTTTGAAATGGAATGTAATACGGTGAATGGCCAAATCGAAACGCTTTAATCCAGTTTTTTATGCGTTTTGTGCTGTGTAACAGCAATACAAAACGCATATTGTCACGGGGTTGTCTGTGTGTATGTGCCCGCAGCAACTTGTCCGCAACTTTCAACTCGGGAACCACAAAAGCTAGGAAGC